TTTGTAGGTCAAAAATATTTGAGTAGGGACAATTTTTTATGGTTGAACTTAATTCTGTTGTGTGTATGCCAACAGTAACTTTTAATTTTGGACTATACGATGAATGGGAAATGGTATCTGTTTGTTTTTACTTGCATTTACATATTGTTGGTGAAGTTAGACATATTTTCATATGCTCATTAGCCATTTTGATTTCTTCTAATAAGAATTTCCCACCTATAATTCTGTGCTCATCTGGAATAGGGGAAATGAATAAAGCATTTCTTTTAAAGAATTTATTGTGGACATGTTAATAGATTAGGAAATGAGTAAACTCAAAGTTCTCACAAAGTGTGGTAATTTTCCAGTGGCCATAAATTCCTCTCGTTCCGTTGTGCGCACTCCTGTGTCATGTGATTTTACCTTTCTCCCCAGCCAAAGGTGGAGACTGTTTCTCCACTCTCTTTAATCTAGACTGGCCTTGTGATTTGCTTGGACCTATAGAATATGGTGGAAATGATGTTGTGTAAGTTCCAGAACGTGGGCTTTAAGAGCCCTTCCAGCTTCCAGCTTCCCCTCTGAGAATACTGCCCCAAAACTGCCTTGTAAAGAAGCCAGATTAGTTTACTGGAGCATGGGAGGCCACACAAAGGAGAACCAAGATGCCCTAGCTGACAGCCAGCACCCACTGCCAGGCCTGTGACTAAAGCCATTTAGACCTTCCAGGCCAGTAGAGCCTCTAGCTGAATGCAGCTGCATGAGTGAGCCCAGGTGAGACCAACCCACAGAATCATGAGAAAAAATAAATCACCATTAATTTAAGTCATTAAATTAGGGGGTGGCTTGCTTTGTAGCCGTAGTTAATGTAGCTATGCTCACTGGTGCCTGGCGGGCTGTCAGTGGAGCGTGTGACTCTTGGTCTCAGGGTTGTGAGCTTGAGCCCCACGTTGGGTGTAGAGATTATTTAAAAGTAAAATCTCTTTTAAAAAAATAGTTAACTATGCTCTAGTGTGGTAATGAAATGGGTAAATAATTTGGGAAAGAAAAACAGAACTTGAAAGAACTTGATATTTAACAGTATCCTTTTTTATTTAAAAAAATACTATTAACAATGTGCTTATTATGTGTTAGGCATTGTGCTAAGCACCTTGTATATTATCTCATCTTTAAAACAACCCTATTAGATAGAAATTACTCTTATTTTGCCAGAGGTCACACAACCATTAGCCATTGGAATGGATTAGGGAATGAATAACCTCATATTTTCAGAATCTCAGTTTTCCAATCCGGGATAGCATTTTAAAACTTGGTACTCTGTGATGGGCAGAACCATGGCCCCCTACAGATGTCCTAATCTCCAGAACCTGTGAATAGGTTACCTTACTTAGCAAAAAGGACATTGCAGATGTAATTAAATCAAGGATGCTGGATGGGGAAATTGTCCTGGATTTTCTGGGTGAGCCCAGTGTAATCACAAGTGTCCTGATAAGAGGAAAGTAGGGGTGCCTGTGTGGCTCAGTTGGTTGGGCATCCGACTCTTGATTTTGGCTCAGGGTTGATTGAGCCAAAATCAGCCCTGGGATTGAACCCCAGGTCAGGCTCTGTGTTCAGTGGCAAGTCTGCTTAAGGATTTCTCTCCCTCTGCCACTCCCCCTGCCCACGTGCACAATCTCTCTCTCTCTCAAATAAGTAAATCTTTTTTAAAAAAAATAGTAAGAGGAAGGTAGAAAGTGAGAGTCAGAGGAGATGTGAAGACATAAGTAGAGGTAGGAGGATGTGGGGTCACGGACCGAGGAATGCAGGCAGCTTCTAGAAGCTGGAAAAACCAAGGAAACAGATCTCCTAGCGCCCCTAGAAGGAACATGGCCACACTGACACCTTGATTTTAGCCATTTTGGATTTCGGACCTCCAGAACTGTAAGATAATAAGTTTCTGTTTTCCTTGTTTCTTTTTTTGTGTGTGTATTTTTTGTTTTTTTTTAGAGAGACAGATGATCCTTTAAGTTTATGCTGTTTTAAGCCACTAAGTTTGTGCTAATCTTTTAACAGCAGCAACAGGAAACTATATTCCAACTATTTTTAGCCATACTTCTAATATGGAGAATTTTTTGTTAAGAAAAAGCAAATGAGAAGGAATTCTAGGAAGATAACAGCTTATTCTGCCTTCTTTACAGTCACATACTCAGTAAACAGATACACAAATTAGAGTAACAATGATGTATAATATTACAGTCATCAAAATGGCAAAAAAATTAGATTCCATTTATTAATGGAAGAGATGGAGGGGGAGAATGTTTCTTATATTGCTGGTGGAAAGCAGTTGGTATTACCTGTCAAAATTAAAGATACATGTTTATCTTTCCAACAAGCAATCCCACTCCTAGAAATGTAACCCACAGAAATAAAAGCACCATTATTAAGGACATATTTAAATATATTTATGACAATTGATTATAGTGGAAAAAAACAAAGTGCCCATCAACAGGGTAATACTGAATAAATTATGGCACTCCATACCATAGGATGGTATTCAACCATTAAAAAGAATTAAAGTTGAACTCCTGCTTCACACTATATGCAAAAATTAATTCAAATTAATTCAAAATGGATCAAAAGTAAATGTAAAAACTAAAACTATAAAGTTCTTAGAAGAAAACAGGCATGAATCTCCATAACCTTGAATTAGGCAATGATTTCTTAAATATTCCACCAAACAAAAGCACAAGAAACAACAACAAAAATAAATTGGACTTCATTAAGATGTTTGTTTTTCTGAGGACAAAGATGAAGACAATCCACAGAATGGGAGAAAATCGTATGTATGTGCTGTATCTAGAACATGTAAGAATTCTTACAACTCAACAATAAAACCGAACCCAATTAAAAATGGGCAAAGGATCTGAATAGACATTTCTCCAAAGATGTATGAATAGCCAGTAAGCACATAAAAAGGTGGTCAACATAATCATCAGGGAAATGCAAATCAAAATCAAAGTGAGATAGCTCTTCACACATACTAAGATGGTTATGATCAAGAAGACTGACAAAAACAAGTGTTGGTGAGGAAGTGGAGAAATTGTAACCGTTGTGTATTACTAGTCAGAATTGGAAAATAGGCAATTCCTCAAAAAGCTAAACACAGAATTACTATAACCTAGCAATTCTACTAGGTATATTACCCAAGAAAATTTAAAATATGTCTACATAAAAAAGTTACACACACGTTCAAAATAGCCAAAAAGTGAAAACAATGCAATATCCATCAACTGATGGATAAACAAAATGTATATTCTTACAACAGAGTATTATTCAATCATAAAAAGGAATGAAGTACTGATACATACTACAGTGTGATGGCCATCTTAAACATTATGCTAAGTCAGAGAAGCCAGATACAAAAGGGTACATATTTTATGACCCCATTTACATAAAGTGTCCAGAATAGGCAACTTGATTGAGATAGAAAGCATATTAGTGGTTGCCAGGAGCTGGGAGGAAGAAGGGGGAGTGAATGCTAACAAATATGGAGATTCCTTATGGAGTAATGAAAACAGTCTGGGATTAGACAGTGGTGACAGTTTGCACAACCTGTGAATATACTAAAAACCACTGCATTTTACATTGTAAAAGGTTGAATTTTATGATATCTACATTATATGAAGAATAGGAATAAGAACAAGAAGAACCTTTTCTGATGATTTCCAGGAACACCAGATAAGAAACCATTTGTCATCTGATCAGGTCAGAAGCCAAGAATTCCATTTTATTTTTTAGTTATCTTTATTTAACTGGATTTTCTATTTATAGAAGAGATCTAAGTTTTCTTTAAAAATGTTTACATCTGGGGCGCCTGGCTGGATTGGTGGAGCATGTGACTCTTGATCTAAGGGCTTTAAGTTCAAGTCCCACATTGGGCATAGATTACTTAAAAATAAAATCTTAAAAAAAAGTGTTTACAAAAAAAAACACAGTATAAATAATAGTATTAAAGAAAAACAGTCAGTAAATGAAAAAGCGTGTGGCAGACTTTGAAGTTTAAGTCCTAGTGTACTATTATTTTTCAAGCCCAGTTAATACTGTTTAAATTAATAATGAAATAAAACTCAATACACCATTCACTTCCCAGTGCCAAGGATCTCCATAACTTAATCCTTAGATATGCTCTTCCAAGTACAATCCTCTTTCACTAATATTTCCAAGGAAACTTTCAGGGATTTGCCCTCTAAGTTAGTTATCATAGGTTTTGCTCCCTTCCCTATCAATAGCCTGTCATCCCCACTGGCTCTCCTTGGGGCCAGGGTTCCTAAACTATGCAAGCTAAGGTGAGTTGGGGCACCATAGCAAAAACATTGATACTTGATACCTTTTGGATACCATGCCTAATTCTAGTTGCAGGTAGTTCAGTTACATTATATGGCACCACATTCCTTTTGATTATGTCATATCTTTGTGAAGCTGGGTTTGGGGCCATTGCTGTGATAAAAAGCAAGTACACCAACACACATCTGTAGTCACGAGTGCTCATGTGTCTGGAGCAGAAAATTCCATGTCATCTGCCATTCTCAGCCAGGACATCCTGAGGGTAAATCAAGCTGCTCTTGATGCCTCCTCTCAAATTTCCTACCCCAAAAGGTGCTTCCTATAATTAAGACCCCAGCTGCAGTTATCTACTAAATTTTGCAGTATGTTAGGGCCACATAAATCCATGGCTTTACACTGTAATTACTGCTTAATTATACTGAATGTTACTGCATTAAATATGTACTTCTATACATGTATTTCCACAGTTACAATGGCAAAACTATTTAGAATTAACAAATAATGGACTTCTTTCCATTTTTTAATTATTTAGCCCACACAGCAATTTGGAAAAGGACTGATAATTAAATATTTACGGTTTCTACTGAAATGAGACAAACTAATCAGAATACACTTTTTTAAATGTTTATACCAAATTCACACACACGGTATATATAAACATACAGCATATTCACACACACTAAAAAAAAAAAAAAGAGAAATTTGCCCATAATCAAAACTTTATTGAAAAACTGACACCAAAATAGGACATCACTGTTGTAAACCTTACAAAATTAAACATAATTACATTATCTTGGTAGATAACTGGAATTACTGAACTGATAAGGCTTTCTGCGATATAACACAAATTCGAGAGGCTGTGTGGATCATTAGTGTTGCTTTCTTCTAAACGAACACCCTGCAAAGGAATCACGAGAACATGTTAAACACAAGGTACACCATCTCTGCTGTAGTTTTAATGACAAAAAGTATTTTTTCAGTAAAAAAAACCCTAAGTTTTAGGAATATTAGAATAATATTCACATACAGGTTATTTATCCTTGTATGAAATTTACTATAATAAATCTTATATATTTGAATTTATTCTGATGGGACTATAACTGTTATTCCTGTTTCTCGAAGGCTGTATTAGAGTCTATGTAAGACCATGAGCCTAAAGTCAACAGTTAAGACTTTAATCCAAGCTGTCAGAAAATGCAATCTTAATTTTTAGGAGTTATTCTGAATTACTTTCCTAAGAAACTGATTTTGATTAGAATACTCTTCAAATCTATTAGGAAAACTCTAATACCCTATTAATCATCCATTGGCACAAAACTCCAAGATCATGACATGATGTAAAGGTTTAAAAAATCTTACAAGTATACTTTTGAGAGCAATACTGCACTTAAATATCATATACTGACTTTGTACTTAGATCTCACCAGCTCACGCAAAACAGATGTTGGATTTGTTGCCAATCTACTTAAAACTCTTCTGGTGAGAACAACATGGAATTCACAACACCCCCAAAATATCACAAGCAAATTTCAAGTATCACCATGGAATTACAAACCTATAAGTACTACTATGGAAAACAATATACATAACTACTATTTTTTTCTTACTGCACAAAAGTGAAAGAGGAATTAAAATGGGATTTTTAGAGGCACCTGGCTGGCTCAGTTGGTAGAGCATACGACTCTCGATCTCCGGGATTTTAAGTCTGAGCCTCATGTTGGGTGTAGAGATTACTTAAAAATAAAATCTTTTTAAAAAATAAATAAAATGGGATTTTTATTTAACCATTAAGTTGGTGCTCTGAGAAATCAAACTGAGGGCACTTTAATTTATACCTTAGTTATCAGTTGCCTAGCTAGCAATGATAAAAACTGTCTTCAGTCAAATGTGTCAAATACATATGAAACAAAATATTTACAAGAGAATTTTAAAAATTCTATGGTTTTAAAAATCCCTTATGTCCTATTGTATGTACTTACTGTTTTGCTCCATTCTGACTTATGTTTAACATTCCAAATTAAGCAGCCTAAATAACTACACAGAATTAGGTGTTCCAGACCAAGAGAAACAATAGTTAAAGGAGTTCTTAGCAAAATCAAAGGTATAAACCTATCCATTTGAGCAGGGCACTCTTTACTGAAAGAGCATACAACAAAAGATAAAATTATTTTGGTAATAATAAATTTAAGATTTCTTTTAAACTGGTTTTTAATAAGGTGGACATTTATAATCATAAAACCTCATCCCTGGGTTAGAAAATGCCAAACGAATACCCTCTGTGAGTCTGGCCTTTCCTCCTGTTGGCTGGCACAACACTGTTGAACAGCCTACACAAAGAACCACCGTCTGAGCATGGCTGAAAACCGTGGTAATCTTGTAGCAACCTAGAAAAAGGGCAATGTTAAAAGTGAAAAGCAGAAGAAAATAAAGCCTATTGTTCACCATATTTCTAGTAAAGACCTTGTAATAGATGAAGAACATTAGTGCTGTGCAATAGCAAGCCACATATTTAAGACTTTGCCAGTCGTCACATAAAAAAAAAGTTTAAAAAAGCCAACGTGTGAAATTAGTAATATATTTTATTGAACTTAGTATTTCCAAAATATTATTACCATTTCAATATGTAATCAATATGGTTTTTATGTGTGTGTGCTACATGTTAAAAATCCAGTGTATATTTTCCACTTTAAGAATATTTTCCACTCTGACTAGCCACATTTCAAGTGCCCAGTAGCTACGTATAGCTAATGGCCACCACACTGGGCAGCACAGCTTAACACTAAAGAATCAACATACTTCTCACTGCATCATAAAAAAGAAAACGAATCATCTGAACAGCTTAACGACTTAGTAAATCAAATGTCTTATTCCCTTTGGAGTCTCATCTTCAGCAACCCCTCCCCCCAAATGTTTCTACAATGGTTTGGATAGTTTTTTAGGAAAATATCCTTTTTGACATTTCCAATTCTGTGATCCCACTTCTCCACAAAAGGTCCTAACTTATCTATCTAAACATACACACCACACAAGCAATCCCTTTAGAAATTTTCCTTGGGAAGGGAATTAAGATTTGAAATTTTACCTGGACATTTTACATCCATAAAATAGGAATTTGGGCTCTGAACTAGCCGTTTCTTTTTATGTTTTTTCTTTTCCTCTTCCAAGGACGGGTGTAGTAAATCTCTAGCCAACTGAATAAAAAAGCATATTATTATTGCTAGAAGGCATCCACACTGCTGGCGAATTTGACCATATGTGAAATATACATACAAGACAAGGGATAACATACTCAGCAGAGGCAACACGCCAGATGTTATTTATTTAGCCTGTTAAGTAACTTTAATCAATACTCTTTATAATGCTTGTGTTCTCTAAGTCCCGGTAAAGGAACTCTATGAGAATCAAGAAGCATATGATACGCTTAAAATTCCGTTCTTCTTCACTCAACTGAGTACCAGTCTCCAATAAAAACACCACTGTGGTGCTAGGTAAGAACTTGACCCCAACCCTGCGCCCGCCGAGAGCAGAAATCGCTGAGGTAGACCCCAGAGTGCCAACGCTGGGGTGATTTCTGCCCCCTGCCCCCGGGGTTCAACATCTGATCTGACAGGAACTCTGAGTGGCTGAAGCGTGACTGTCCTTGACGGAGTTAACATGTAAGGCAACTGCGAAAACAGTTTTTAAAAAGGAAACAAGAAGAAAATCGCTTCCGAGAGGGGGCGAGAACCAATCAGCGCAAGAAAAGCAGAAAGACTCCGAAGATTATAGTCTCACGGGCGCCCACCAAAACCCAAGAAGGCTGAGTGTCACCCGAGGAGCTGACCCTCCTAGCCACTGACTCCAGACCTGAGCCCAGGGCCGCCCCGCATCCTCCCCGCTCCACGCCCAGAACAGGGCCCGACACGCCGCGCTGCCCGGGCAAGTCCCAACAAGTCTGCCACGCGCGAAGGAGCTGCGCGGATCCGAGCCACCGAGCCGTGTTCGGCAGGGACCCCTCCCCGGGCCCGCCGAGGCGTCGGGCGAACGCGCCCCCGCGACCCCCAGACAAAGAAGCCCGAAACAAATGGAAAGCCAGAAGTAAACAACTCACAGGCATGTTGATCTTTCGCAATCCCAGCCAGTCCCGATCTTTAAGGCGACACCCCTAGCGAGCAGCACGCGATCCGGCGAGCGGCATCAACTTCCGGGATAGAGGAGGCTGGGCGGAGCGGAGCGGCGGGGCGGGCGGGCCCGTCCGCTCTAGGCGCTCCTCTCGGTGGTGGGGTCGGCTTCGGCCGGGGCCGCAGACCGCGGGCTGCGGGGTCTGTGAGGGCGCCCTAGTTCCGAAGGCCTGGACGGCGCGAGCCGAGGGGGCTCCTGGGCGAGGGCCGCTGGCCCTAGGGCTCCGCCTCGGACAAGTGGTGCCTGGGGCCAGGCTTAGGTTGTGTGCCCGGCTGGGAAGCCGCCTGGGGCTTAGGCCGCGGAGAAGGGAGCGCCGGCGGCCGCCCCAGCCCGGTCGCGTAGCGGGACCCGGCGGGCGCGTCGGACCGGCCCTCCACGGTCCCGGCCGCCGGGCCCCAGCTCTGCGGCGGTTCTACGGTGCAGCAGGTGTCCACTCGCTTATTAAAACCAGTAGCATTAATCAAAACTATTAATCCGTGGCCGCGAAATTATGAAAGTTTCGTATACTTTGCATCCAGCTTCCAAGGAACTGGTTAAGTTCGGGGGATGCGGCTCTGCCTTGGGTTTGCTTCGCCCTGAAAAAGTTTTTAAGAAGCACCGAATCGCTACTAAGCTTGGTTCACCGCAAGGCTCCTTCCTGCTCCTGAGAATTGTACCTTCCAGAGCCGACAACTCGGGCCTGAAAAAACGGCGTCGAGAGCCAGACTTGAAATATTCTTGATGAGGACAAGCTTGAGGGGTGGGTGTGAATATGATCAAAAGCTAGGAAACCAGGCTCTCTCTGACAAATAAATAAAACCTTTAGACAAACCATAAGAGACACTCAATCTCAGGAAACAAACAGGGTTGCTGGAGTGGAGGGGGTTGGGAGGGGTGGGGTGGCTGGGTGATGGACGCTGGGGAGGGTATGTGCTATGGTGAACGCTGTGAATTGTGCCAAGACTGGGGAATCACAGATCTGTACCCCTGAAACAAATAATACATATGTTAATTTAAAAAAAAAAAAGCTAGGAAACCAGGGAAATGCTTGACCAGAAAAATGTCCTAGATGACATTCTCCATCACCTTTTATTTCACGCGTTTTGGGAAATGCAGAAAAAATGAAAATTAAAATTATCCAGAGATAAACATTATTGACAATTTGACCTATAACCTTCCAAACATTTTTTATTTACTTGGATTTAGGTTTGTTGGGGACTTGGGTTTTACATAATTGCTATCATCTTGTGCATATTCTTTTGTAGACTTGATTTTCTCCCAACTACCTATAATGAACATTGTTCCATGTTACTACATATTTTACTACATTATGACTTTTAATGTGCACATAGCATTCATCCTATGAATATACATCCTCCTTTCATCCATACACTCAAGTGGTCATTGGGTTTGGGTTTTTTAATGTTTAGTATTTTAAATATGACAAAATATTAAATATTTTGTAAAGATAAGTATATGGAATAATACAATAGTGTAGCAGAATAATGACCCCCAAAGACTTCAATGCCCTCATCCCCAGGACCTATAGTTACATGGCAACTGGAATTAGGGTTGCTAATTAGCTAATTATGAGTATTATCTGGATAAGCCCAAAGTGATCACAAGGGTCCTTAAAAGTGGAAGAGGAAGACAGTAAAAGAAGAGTCAAAGAAAGAGATGAAGTGATGAAAAAGGTCTGAGAGATGCTATGTTGCTGGGTGTGAAGATGGAAGAAGGGGGGGCCAGAGCCAAGGAATGTGGACAGCATCTAGAAGCTAGAAAAAGACTCTGACCTGGAGTCTCCTGAAGGAACACTGTCCTGCCAGCCCCTCAATTGCAACGCAGTAAAACTCCAGTCAGACTTTGAACTATAGAACTGTGAGATAAGAAATTTATGTTGTTTTAAGCTGCTAACTTTATGATAATTTGTTACAGTAGGAAACACATACAGTAATGAAGACCATGTAGCCACTCCCCAGCTCTGTCAAATCTGACCATTCAATACCCTCTCCCCAGGATTTGTCATTTTAAAAATAACACTGTAGTAAATATTCTTGTGGATAAGTCTCTGTGCACATCCTTGATTATTTCCTTAAGATAAATTCCTAGAGGGGGCGCCTGGGTGGCTCAGTCGGTTAAAGCGTCTGCCTTTGGTTTAGGTCAGCCCAGGGTCCTGGGATCAACCCCTACACCCTGCTCAGTGGGGAGTTTGCTTCTCTCTCTTCCTCTGCCCTTCTGCCCTGCTTGTGCTAGCATGCTCTCTCTCTCTGTCTCTCTGTGTCTCAAATAATCTTTAAAAAAGATAAATTCCTAGAGGAGAAATTCCTGTGTCAAAAGTTATGCATATTTTAAGGTTTATAATATAAACTGCCAAATTACCCTCCAGAAAAATCAAACCAATTTACATTGCAATTGTAAATGTTTGAGAATGCCCCTTTCTTTGTACCCTTGATGATACTGGATATTATGTTTTTCCCCATGTCTGTCAATCTTGAAGAACTGTATGCTATTTTATCATATTTCACTGTTATTTTAATTAATATTTTTCATGTGGTTATTGGTACCTAGCATATTTCTATTGAGATGATCATCCATTTTTTCCTTATGTATCTTTTTTTTAAAGATTTTATTTATTTATTTGACAGAGAGAGACACAGCGAGAGAGGGAACACAAGCAGGGGGAGTGGGAGAGGGAGAAGCAGGCTTCCCGCTGAGCAGGGAGCCCGATGCAGGGCTGCATCCCAGGACTCTGGGATCATGACCTGAGCCAAAGGCCGACGCATAAAGACTGAGCCACCCAGGCGCCCCTGTATCCTTTTTTTTTTTTAATTAAGTAGGCTCCACGCCCAGTGTGGGGCTTGAACTCACGACCCTGAGATGAAGAGTCGCATGCTCTACCGAATGAGTCAGCTAGGCACTCCCCCCATTATGTATTCTTTCATATTAAGGCCATTAACTGGTAATCACATATGTTGCAAATATTTTTCCCAACTTGTTATTTCCTATTAACTCTATCCTATTAATTTTTGGAGTGACTTTAAAACTATATAGAATTTTTTAATTTCGTGTACATATATTTCAAACCTATTGGTGTTTCCTATTTTGCTTTTGTGTTTTGACAGGCCTTTGCCATCTTAGGATCAGCTAAACTTTCTTCTCATTCTTTTGTTATGATATTTGTCCTTTAACTTTTTAATTCACCCGGAATTTATTTTGGCACTTGATGCATAGTAAGACTCAGAACACTTTCTAATGATCACTCCTAGTTATTGCTTCAGTTCCTTACTAATGCCCAGGACGGTGTCAAAACCCTCAATTTCTAAGACACTATAAAGACAGGAGAAATAAAAGTCAAGGTCAGGAAGACCTGGGCTCTAGAATTCTCTCTCCTCCTCCAAAGCTCAGTGTCTCCTACAATGTCCCCGGGTCCTTGCACTGCTGGCAGATAAAGGGACCCAGAGCCACTTTGCCTTGGCAGCCCACTCTCAAGGAATCCCTCCTGGCTTCCCAAAGAACCATGAAGTGCCAGTTGGAGTTTGTATGCTGCTGACAACTCCCCAGCTGTTCTATCTGGCCACATCTGAGAAAGTCCTTAGTTCTCTCCAGTTCCCCACCAGCGCCTTCACCTGAGATGTGTGCAACCCTCTCTGCTCCCTTCCCCCTTTGTCAACGTCAGACACTGGGAAAGCTCACAGGTGTCCCAGCTAAGCCAGGGACTTAACTGGTGCTAAATTTCAGGCTAGCCAAGACCAGTTCTAAATAGGTCAGATCCCTATTTGCCCCTGGGTTGGCGTGCCTTTGGCTTGTGCCCTTCTTTTCCCAGAAAGGTGGTTGGAAATTCAGCTTTGTTTTAAGAATTTCAGGGTGTGAGGTGGGGCCCTAAAGATAACTTTTCACACTTCCGCCTTTCTGAGTATTTTTCTGAGAAATTCAGAGAAATCTGTGTCATTAGGAAACTATATAACAAGCCTGCATTCTTTTTCCCTTCCTCTGTGGTCCACCTGTTGTCAGGAATCGAAACATGTGTAGCTTATTCTCAACACATTCCTGAAATCAACAGCAACTGCAGAAAGCCTGCCTTTTCTCTGCTCACCAGTTCTCCACAGGGTCACAACCATTGTCCCAAAAGCTCCATTGTGGGGGTTTGAAATCCATCTGTCATTCATGAGGATGTTTGACACGCTCAGGTAAGGTCCCATCTTTAAAAGGTAAGAGTCTCCAGGTGCAAACTCTGTTGTCATGTTCTTTTCCATGCCACCTTAATTTCTGACTGAAGCTGAGCGCCCAGTGGGCTGGTACTATAGGCTGAACGTTTGTGTCCCTCTGAAATGCATATGTTGAATCCTAATCCCCCAGTGTGATGGTATTGAGCAGTGAGCTTTTGAGAGGTGGGTAGGTCATCAGGGTAGAACACCCATGAATGGAATTAGTGCCATTTTAAAAAGAGCTCCCTCACTCCTACTGTGTAGGGACACAGTGATGAGACTTCCATTTGGAGCTAGGAAGTGGGCTTCAAATCTGCCCACACCATTGATCTTGGACTTGCTACCCTCCAGAATTGTAAGAAATAAATTGTATTTAAGCCACCCCGTCTATAGGGTTTTGTTATAGCAGCCTGAACAGACTAAGCAGGCTGGCCTGGCAGAATATGTCATCTCGTTCTTGGAGATTGTGCCGGGTTCTCTCCCTGGGTCCCTGACCTGATCTGCTCTCCCTCCATCCTTCACCCTTCTCTGTGCCCAGGAGACTGACCTTGATGGACTGCACCTGCTGAGTTCCCTTGTTCTCTGGTTTCTAATTGAGTTGGGACAATGAGATGCATCAGTAGGAAATCACAAAGTGGGCAAAGAGAAATGTTGGGGTATTTATTCCCCTGGTTCTATCCTTGACAGGCCCTTTTCTTCCATATGGGCTGTATTACTCTGAAGGAAACAGTTGCTTCAGGTGCCCCTTTCCTACAACTCTTAGGGGATTCCAGTCACTACTTCCTTCCCTTTTGGTTCTTCTGCCTGAGGGGTGGAATTTCATGATCTTTTGTTGATTTCTGTTAACCCCATGTCAGCCTTGTAAATAATACCTACATGAAGCTATCTTCAGTCGTCTCTTTTGAGGGGGCCTTTGTGATCTGCCAGGACCCCGACATGGGGATCCCCTGCCAGGATGTGCTCCTCTTTAGCCTGCAAGGCTTCGTTGATTTGTAGATGAGATCCATCTGCCCTTCAGCCTTCAATCCAACCAGGTCACTGCAGGGGATGTCCATTGTCCCTGACTATAGAATCCTTCATGTTTAACAGGTTATGGTTTGAGATGGAAAATGGGAATCTTGAGACAGCCTAGAATCCTAGTCATGAAGATCTTTGCCACATTATGGGCTGCATTGGGACCACCTAGGAACTTGTTGGAAATGCAGACTCAGGCCCCAACCCCAGACCTCATGGGTCAGAATCTGCCTTTTAACAAGATACCCTGGCAATTTGCATTCACATCCCAGTGTGAGAAACACTGCCCTAGATTTACCATCCCAGCGTTCTCTCTGGAGTGTTCCTACCTTCCTGTGGGACTGTAAGGAAGCCAGAACCCAGATTCCCACTACTCCAAGTAACAAATCAAAGATATTTCTCTAGATTGGAACAAGGACCTCCCCCACCTCCTTCTCCAAGATGTTTTATGCATTTCAGCAAATCTTATTCTCATACTATGTCGAGGAAACCTTTAAGTCAATGATACTCGAACTTGGTTGCGTGTTAGAATCACCAGTGGAGCATCCTAGGTCAGTTGTAGGGCATTTGGGGGTGGTACCCAGGCGGTGGTGTGTGTTTGTTTATTTGTTTATGGGGGGAGTGGGGTGGGGAGGGGCAGAGGGAGAGAGAGAGAGAGAGAGAGAGAGAATCTTAAGCACGCTCCACACTCACCACAGCCCAATGTGGGGCTCGATCTCACAACCCTGAAATAGTGACCTGAGCCAAAATCAAGAGCGGGACACTTAACTGACTGAGCCACCCAGGCGCCCCCTCCCCTACCCCCCGCAGGCCCCAGGTTATTCCATGAGGAGCCAAGGTTGAGAACTACTATTCTCAGTTCCTCAGAGGGCTCAACATTTTCAAAAGCAAAGCCCAGAATATCTATAGGCTACTCTCGCTGAAAAGTGGGGAGAGGGGAAAATACAGAGTGGGGAAAAATCATTGCTGTTCAGCTCTGCCAGGCGGGGCGTCCCAGCACTGTGCTACCGGGTTGAGGATCAGGTGCCAGGTCTCCTGGTCTCCCCAGCTATTTTCCTGCAAACCCTCTCATAGCCTGCCCGAGTCTCCACGGAAGAAAGTGAGCTACTCAGAGGCCAGGTGCTCTCCCAAACTTCACTGTCTCCCCCCAGCTCATAGTAAAGGCATTTTATGAAGATGCTGGGGTCAACAAAAATGTATGCAAATGTAAGCACTTACGGCCTACGTTAATCCTTTCTCAATAACCACTGCTGTCTCAGGTGGCTTTTCTTTTCATGCTCTTGTACTGCAATTTCACGCTCCTTATGTCCATGTGTCTATGTGTTCTCTTCCCTAAAAGTCCATAGGTTTCTTAAGATCAGGATGGACTCTCATTCCCCAATTTGCCCAAGTAGCAGGGCAGGTGCGGGAATCTGTCCCCTGAGCGCCACACTCTGTGTAACTGGCGTGCTGGTCTTTCTTTGAGAACTATTCTGCCTCTGGTTTATCCAGAACCCTGCTTTTCCTGTCAGAACTTCTAGGTCCTTCTGGATACATGCCTTTGGTTCTCCCTCTGCCTCAACTTGGTGTGATGATAAGACTGAAGGACCACAGAATTCTGGCTAAATCCAAGTTAATTTGTTTGTTTACTTTTTTTTTAAGCAGTTCTTTTTCTTTTTTTTTTTTTAAGATTTATTTATTTGACAGAATGAGAGAGAGGCAGAGAGCACAAGCGGGGGGAGTGGCAGTGGGAGAGGGAGAAGCAGGCTGACCACTGAGCAGAGAGCCTGATGTGGGGCTTGATCCCAGGACCCTGAGATCATGACCTGAGCTGAAGGCAGACCCTTAACCAACTGAGCCACCCAGGCGCCCCAAATTAACTTGTTTCTAAAACTGGAAAAATAAGGCTAAGTCATTATAGGGTTAATGAGATATTATAGTGAGCTCTTCCTTTGGAAAATGTGTTCAAGCAAAAATAAATGAAAATCATTCTGTTTTCCCATTAGATAAAAGCTGATTAAAAGGCTAATGGGTCCGCAGGCTCAGAGTATTAAGAAGAATGGTGCTCTATTTGTTCACATTTGAAAATGTATTAAACTATTTGTAGAATGTCTGCTATACACAAAGTGGTAGACATTGTAAGCCCTGTTACCTGGGAGCACAGAAACTTTTTAAGTCTAATAGCCACTTAACTTTTATAAGTTGTTTCCCCATCTGTTAAATGAAAATAATCTGTATGTCTATTTCATAAGGTTATATGAATACATAATGAGGTAATACTTGTGCATAGTACACTGCAGATGCTCAGTAAATGCCAACTATAATTCCTAGAGCTTGTTGATTATAAAGAAATCAGTTGGCTCTGGAAATATTGGGCTGATGGTGATTTCCCTAGTGGTAACTTGTAAAATGCTAGGTTTCTAGAATAGTTCTGACTTAGGGAAGATCATGAATTCGTTCCATCTGCAGAAAATACTTGCTGGAGTCTTACCTTTGAATCAAAAACCGAGAGATTGTTCTTTCAAAGTGCAGTAGGTGACACAAGGAGCCCCTTGACATGCAGGACAAGCACTGGCCAGCAGAGAGCTTTATCTTCCATTTCCAGAGGGCCTTACCGTTGGCTCTGTCTCCCTAATCTGTTACCCAGTCACTCCCTAAGCAGCTGTGTGTAATAAACTCCAAATACAGACCGGGGTTATTGTGAATTTTTCTAAAGGAAAAATACATGTAAGACTGAGTCTAATCTCCAAATATTTTCTCCTAAATATTCCATTTCATCTGAAACTAGTTAACTATTTTAAACCACTTAAATTCCAAATTGCCCTTAGGTGAAAGTTAAATACTATTGGCTCTACATATATTTCTCATAGAGATACTTAGTCTGAAAATCCAGTAGAATTATGCCAGCTCTGTGGTCACTGTGTAGCATCTTCGACACTGGGAGCGAGGAGAGAGGTGTGTTGCTGATCTGTAGTGTTTGCTAATTTCCACGAATGTTTGCACTGGGGTCAATTTCAAGTACTAAAATGAAGTCACTTCATACAGAATGGGAAAGAGAGGAGCACAATCCTCCTGATCAGGTAATGCAAAAGTCTTATTTTAGGAATACTTTCACTGTCATCAAAACTGCTAATAAAATATCCATATTGACACTTTGGGGCATCCTTTTCTCTGACACCAGAGGAAGGAATGAAAAATGGGAGGGGTGTCTGGGTGGCGCAGTTGGTTGAGCAGCCAACTCTTGGCTTCAGCTCAGGTCGTGATCTCGGGGTTGTGGGATTGAGCCCCAAGTCATGCTTGAGTTTCTCTCTCCCTCACCCTCTGCCCCTCCCCGCTGCACTCTCTTTCTCTGTGAAGTAAATAAATCTTTTTAAAAAATGGGAGAGGGGAAAAAAAAAAAATGGGAGAGGGCACCCCTGTCGGACCCCTCTCACTCTGGAGAGCTTCACTTAATAAACTTCTATGGCTTTACTCACACAAAAAAATAAAAAATAAAAAATGGGAGAAAGAAGGGACTACTAGACTAACTCACAAACTGGATGGTTGGCCTTGAATAAAGAAGAGTTGACCTCCTGGATCATTTTATCCACCTGAGCACAGCCCATTGCACAGAATAAGAGCTCTACCAGCCTTCCTTCTCAGACTTGCTAATGATGTAGTAACACATTAAATATGGAATTTCAAGTTAGGAAGGGACAATCCATTCCTATTTTCAACAGCTCTAATTGTTCCTTCTATCGTGTGGAAGCCTGCTTGCTTTTAAATTCACCCATTGAATTTCTGGCCTAGGAAGGGAACATAGAAAACACATGTCATTCATTTTCCAACCAACAGCGCTGAGCTAATTGAGGACAGGATTTCACCTTCTCTTAGAATTTACCTCTCCAGGGGTGGCTGGGTGGCTCAGATGGTTGAGCATCTGCCTTCAGCTCAGGTCATGATCCCAGGGTGCTGGGATCGAGCCCCACATCGGTTTCCTGGCTCAGCAGGGAACCTGTTTCTCCCTTTGTCTCTCCCCCTGCTCATTCTCTCTCTTTCTCTCTCTCTCTCTGTCTCAAATGAATAAATAAAATCTTAAAAAAAAAAAAAAAGAATTTACTTCTCCAGGATGCATATCCTAGTATTCACAGTTTCTCATCACCCTTTTTACATTTCTTTGGACATGCTCCAATTTGCCCACATCCCTCTTAAAATAGGCCCAATGACTGAACGCATTGCCAGCTCTGAATCACAGGGAACTGTTACTTGCCTTGTTCTGATCATCACATGTGTACCAGTTCAGCCCCATATCACATATGCTTTTTTGGCAATGTGATGGCACCACACTGTTGATTAACATAACCTTGTAGGTGACTAACACCCTAAGTCTTTTTAAGTGTTACTAAACCTCTTATTTCTCATGCTCTAATTGCATTTTAAGAAATCTACATCTCGTGAATATTCTAAAAACCAGTGAATTGCACTCTTTGTCAGTGGGTTGTATGATATGTGAATATCAATAAAGCTGTTAAAAAATATAAGTGCAGGAAAGAAAAGCAGATGTGTTTTATCAAATAACAACTAAATCTTGCCAGACACATTATTTCACATAATCCTTTCAACAATCCTTTGGCGTTCTAGAGGAACTAAGAGCCTTGTGTAAGTGGGGGAGCAGGGATTTGAACATAGATCTGCTCAAGATGCCCATGTTCCTTCTACCACACTGCTTTCCTGTCACCCTGCTACGTGCTAGGCACCGTGATTGGTGCCCAGTTGAAGTTAGAGGGAGGAGGTCTTCCAGGCAAGCAGAGCCACAGGACCATGCGGACCCTCAGAGCACTAGCAGGTGATAGGGTGACTTAGATTCAGGCGTGAAAAGGAAGGTGTCCCAAAAGTGAAGCAAATATGATGACTGGTGAAGGTGGGGGTGGTAGATTTGGGGGAGGTGTTGGAAATAACCCTGTGAGTGACCCAGAGTGGCAGTGTGGGTCACATAGGACAAAGTGCAGGTAGCAAGGTCTCAGCTTGGTCTGTGTTTCAGATGTGTTACCTAGGAAAAATAGCTGTATGTGCATCAGAGTGCTGATTTTAAAGGGGCCAGGGTCCTGGCTGGGTTATAGAGGCAGGGGCTGAAGCCTGGGGCATCCAGGAGTCAAGTCCTGCAACACGGAATCAAACTGAATCCCAGGATGAGGCTGAAGCCCAGAGGCCAGAACCAGAGCATTTAGTGAAGCAGAACAGGTCACAGGGTGACCTAACAGTGTCCCCTGAACTCCTGAACCAGGGCTCCTTGAAACCTTCAGCTAGTGGTAGGATTTGTCCCTGAATCTGGGGCAGAGCCAAAGCTACAGGTGAATGTCCTGTGGCCCAGAATGGGGCCTGACAACATTAAAGTGCATATCCAGTGTGGTTTTTTTTCCTGCAACATGCATGACCAATGACAGCAGCAGTTATACATACCCCTGCAGAAGTATTCAGGGTTAGAACATTCTGGGTGTGCCTCCATAATGCCACTTTCTTCCGTACTACACAAGAAAGTGTATCAGGAAGTGACAAAGAACGTTATTTCAGGAGTAGCTGTGCATCTGTTCCATTCAGTTTGGTCATCAGCAAATATTACTGGTGTGCATGTCTGGCTTGGGCAGGCCAGTGTGATAGGATCTCCCGGGTGGGCATCAGCAGGCAGACCCTGCCTGTGCAGCCAGAATCCCTGGCTTAGCCTCTCTCTCTCTCTCTGTCTCTCTCTCTCTCAGCCAACCACTCACGCAGCCAAGACTCCTTGGGTTTCACGTAACAGATATAATCTTGCCTGAGCTCAATGGAGAGAGTGCTGGACATGGGCCAGGGCAGGAAGGGCAGTGGGGCCTCGGGGGGGGTCAGAACAAAGCACTGAGAGGCCCCGGGAATGGAGACAACTCTTCTCTTGACACCTCCCTTTTTCTCTCAGGGGTGACCTGGTTTCTCAACTCTACTTCTCCCTGACTCTCTTTCAGCCTCCTCTCCCTACACCCCAGTTTTTCTGCTTCTCAGGGCTCACAGTGACAGTGGCCATGCTAGCCCCTTGTTCCAGGGCCAACAGTGACCGACCAGAAGGCCTGTGTCCCAGTCCCAGATGCCCTAGCGAGAGAAGCTGGTTTTCTCAGCTTGGGTCAGGAGCGTGGAGTCCAGTAGCCTGCGGGCACTTGGGACCATGGTGACTCCTGGGGCCCACCCTAGTGGAAGAGGGTGAGGGAAGCTCTTAGGGAAGGAGGCAGAGGTTGGATAGAGAACCCATCATGTTGCTTCTTCCCTCCAAACCATTGTCACTACCACCTTTGGCAAGGCTAAGTCCTCCTCTCAGGCTGCCTCGCTATTGCTCTGTCTTCTCCCTGAAGCATCTGGTTATTTGCTGGACATAGTTTGTTGACTAAAAACACCTTCTCCACAAACTTCAGCAAACTGGTGATGAATGTATGCAATAACATTTTTTTCATGTAGAACAATCAAATCTAGGGACCACATTTGAAGAGAGATACCATTTTTTTTTAAAGATTTTATTTATTTTAGAGATAGAGAGCAAAAGTGTGGTGAAGAACAGAAGGAGAGAGACCAGCAGATTCCATGCTGAGTGTGGATCCTGATTCAGGGCTCAGTCCCACAACCCCGAGGTCATGACCTGAGCCAAAAATCAAGAGTCAGATGCCCAACCAACTGAGCCACCCAGGCACACATCCTCCCCTCCTTTTCTGTTTTTGAGAGAGGGCAGGGAAGGGGCAGAGGGAGAGGGAGAGAGAGAATCATAAGTACGCTCCACCTTCAGCTTAACCAAATGAGCCACCCAGGTGCCCCAAGGGATACCATTTTAAACTAAAGACATCCCAAGTACATTGGAAGTGAGCCCATTTACAAGGATCCACACTGCCTAGCAATATATTGTACAACCAACAAAGTGCGTTTTAAACAGTCCTCATATTATGTTTGGACGAGAACTATCTTATTCATACTTCAAGTATCTAAAGAATAAAATCTGCAAGCAGGGGCTAGAAGCAGAAAATTTTGAGTTTCTAACCTAAGTGGGTTCCTGCTTCATATTTATAAGACAGCATTGAGGGGAACTGTGGGGTAAGCCGTTAAATCTGAAAGCTATCCTCTAAGGCTCTGCAAGCAACCAAGACTTCCGACCCTATAATCTCTAATGGTGATGACAATGATACCATCTGAATGCTTATTTCGTGTCAGGCACTGTGCTAAGCACTTTACATGGATTATCTCATTTAATCTTTTCACCGTCTCTATGAGATAAATAGTAGTAGTATTCCCATTTTACAGATAAGGAAACTAAGGCACAGAGCTTAAGTACCATTCCCAAGACCTCATGAAAGGTAACTTGCAAAACTAAGATGTAAGCCTAGGTCTCGCGGAAGCTCAAGAATTTTTTTTAAGATTTTATTTATTTATTTGACAGAGAGAGACACAGTGAGAGAGGGAACACAAGCAGGGGGAGTGGGAGAGGGAGAAGCAGGCTTCCCGCCGAGCAGGGAGCCTAATGCGGGGCTTGATCCCAGGACCCTGGGATCATGACCTGAGCCGAAGGCAGACGCTTAACGACTGAGCCACCCAGGCGCCCCAAAGCTCAAGAATTTTGATCTTAACCAATATAATTTACTTAGAGATTCAAACAAGAAATTTTTTAAAAATTATTTGAGGGTGGGGCGCCTGGGTGGCTCAGTCACTTAAGCATCCAACTCTTGATTTTGGCTCAGATCATGGTCCCAAGGTCATGGGATTGAGCCCTGATTCCCCATCTCCCTCTCCCCCTCCCCACCTCCCCCCACCTCTCTTTCTAAAAAAAAAAAAAAAAATTATTTGAGGGGTGCCTGGCTGGCTCAGTCAGTTAAGCATCTGACTCTTGATCTCAGCTTAGGCCTTGATCTCAGGGTCATGAGTTCAAGCCCCACATTGGGCTCCATGTTGGGCATGGAGCCTACTTAAAAAAAATAATTTGAAAATGAAGCACCCTAAGAAAGAAAAAGACAAAGGAAGGAAGGAAGGGAGGAAGGAAGGAAGGAGCCCCCTCATGAACATTAGGTTTTCTTATCATTTTCATGACTCCTTAGATCTTTTCATTTTCAATTTGTTTGATTAAGTGTATTTTTATGTCTCCTATAAAGAAGGCGCTGATGTCAAGGGGGATGTAAAAATGATTAAGACCCTCTTAGGATTTTCAAGGAGCTCAAGGTCATCTAATAATAAGGAAGAGGCTGTATAAACATAATTTCAACATATGATACACCATCCTAGAAACATAAAGTCTAGAGGAGATTAAGGGAAGGTGCAATCATGTTCACTTACTATATAAAAGTTATGATTTAGGGCACCTGGGTGGCTCAGTTGGTTAAGGGGACTGCCTTTGGCGCAGGTCATGATTCAGAGGTCCCAGGATCGAGTCCTGCATCAGGCTCCCTGCTCAGCAGAGAGTCTGCTTCTCCCTCTGACCCATTCCCCTCTCATACTCTCTCTCTCTCTCAAATAAATAAAATCTTAAAAAAGTTATGATTTGTTGCATATGAATATTGTTAGATGAATTGTAGAAGAGAGACAGAAATCCCATGTTAACCAAAGTAATCAACAATTCTGAAGTGTGATGCTTAACAAGACTATTATGACTTCTGGTAAATCATGTAGCTATGTCTTTAAGTGAACCATGGAATGTGACCCCTCTAAATAAGACTGTGACTTTAAAGGAAGAAATGCATCCTCGACAGGCTTGATCCTTGTTGCATATTTTCAGCAAACACTCTTCTGAGGAAAACTCCTCTAATGTGAGCTGTAAGTCAGCAAACCAAGGCAGGGAGACTAAGAAGAAGGGCAGGGGAGATCTTTGGAAGAGCTCTCTACTCGATGTGAGGCATTAGATCTCAAGAATCTTTCCAGAACGGTCCCAGACATAAATGGATACACCTGTTCTTTGTACTTTGGTTGCAGAAACCAGTCTGTCATCTGCCACCAGCTGGGCCCAGTGGGTCTCGGTGCTGCCTGCCATCCAGGAATCTGAGGTGTCCATTCCCATTGCCAACCCGGCTCTCTGTTCGGGTAACTCAAGCTCACCTGCACATTTCTGTCCCCCTGAAGTCTGCAGCAGTCTGTGATCAGTACTGAGAGGCCTCACCGTGGCAGTGGAAAGCAGGAGGCACTCCAAACTTTGGACAAAGTAGCTCTAGTTCTCCTTTTCATTTATGTACGACTTTACATTACAAAGCCCGTCACAACCATCATTAATTAAACCTGCCGCTCACTGCCCTCTGAGGTAGGACTGAATTAGTCTGCTCATTTTACTCCTGACAAAACAGATAGAAGGGCTTAGGGATTTGCTGAAGTGAAATGGTTCAATCAAGGAAGCTTGGCCCAGTTCTTTTTTTTAGTTCATTCTTTTTTGCCTGGAAAGAGGCCTTCATGGTGCCCAGCTCTTAACTCCAAGCAGCTTAAGGAAGTCAACTGGGAAGAGTTTCTTGGCAGGGAAATGATAGCAATCTGGAGCAGAGCAGCAATGTGGGGCTTGAATTATTTGAAAACAGCCAAGCATATTCTTCTGGTTCCCAGTGGATGTTAGACACGTGCGCGCACACGATTCCTCCCGTCAGGCCAGGGAGCAGGGCCAGGACATGGGGCCATAGTTAGAACATGGCTTACAGACAAAGCAGCCCACCCACCACCCACATTTCCACTCTCTGTTACCGATCCCTTGTATTATGATTTTAAACAAACTCAAAATCAAACCTATTCCAAGAGCAGGCCTAGTCCCGCAATCTGTGGGGCTTGAGGTGAAAAAAAGTGAAAACAAACAATAACAACGAGAAATAACAAAAACAAAGAAAACAGTGAAAACAGGGGGCCGACTGAGCCTGGGTGGCTCAGTTGGTTAAGCATCTGTCTGCAGTTCAGGTCATGATCTCAGGGTCCTGGGATCCAGCCTCACGTGGGGCTCCCTGCTCAGCGGGAGTCTGCTTCTCCCTCTCCCTCTGCCTGCTGCTCCCCCTGCTTGTGTCCTCTCTCTGTCAAATAAATAAATAAAATCTTAAAAAAACAACAACAGTGAAAACAGGCCCACATATCTTGTGTCTAAATATTTAAAAAATTATAAATGAAGATAACAAGTTTCTTACCTTGACGGATGTTTATAATGACCTAAAAAAGTGATATGAAATTTAGACTATTTGGCTCCACAGAGCTCCATGCCAGAATGTGGTGATTCAGGGAGAGCAGTCCTGGCCTGGACTGATGCCCTGCTTTCCCGCCGCCAGGCAGAGGCTGCATCAGGAAGGGCCTCATACACATACAAGGAGGATCCCAGACCATGCGTTCAAGCTCTGGCCACGTTAGCACCCCCTTTTGGCCATTGCTTATGCCTGTGGTGCCACACCAATGGCAGTGTACCCTCAGAAGGATAGGTCAGGAAAAGAGGCCCCTACCATTCCTGGAAGCAGGGTCTTTGGCAGGGAATTCTGGGGTCTGGGAACCTAGAGTGGATTCTAGAAAGGGAGCATGGCTCTGAGTGAATACATCCACGTGGCCTGTGGATTCCTCACCCACTGGGGAGTAGGGACCCGAAGAGGACAAGGGTAGGGCTCTCTAAAGAGTGGGCCCCAGGGGAGGGGCCCCTCTTGCTAAGACAAAAGAGCAAATGATATCTGGCCAAATAATAAATAAGCCAAAAGTGTGAGTTAATACTGGAGCCTGCACAAATCTGGATACCAGAGGTAATTGCTACCTCAAATATAATACACATGGGCATGAGCTGTTTCAAGTGTTTTGCCTGCTCTCCTACCACGAATAACTTATTCTGGGCAGTAGCCATGCTCTCCAGTAGGTGTAAGGGCCAGAAATCAAATGAATAAACTCCATAATTAAATATTTTACTGGAGAGGTTGCACCCAGATACCAAAGCTCTAGGTGGTGATCCTGGCATGGGTGACCTTTTTTTTTTTAAGATTTTATTTATTTATTTGAGAGAGAAAGAATGAGAGAGAGAGAGCAATGGGGGGGGGGGCAGTCAGAGTTCTACCTGAGCAGGGAGCCCGATGTGGGACTCGATCCCGGGACTCCAGGATCATGACCTGAGCCGAAGGCAGTCGCTTAACCAACTGAGCACCCAGGTGCCCCATGGGGTGACCTTTTTGTTGCCTCCCCAAAATGGACCAAGTAGAAAGGAGAAGAAAAGCGTGACTCCCTCGGGCCCTGGGTGTGTGCTGCCCTGCTCTTTGTAGCAGTCCTTGGGTCAGCCAAGGTTGCAAGGAGCTATGGGACAAAACCAATCCCTCCGTCCGCATGATTCCCCTCAGAATCAGAGTCATGATCTCAGTCCTGGCTTGACATACAAAAAAGTTAAAATTATGAGCGTTTTTTTAAGTCATATCTCTTTCATTTAATGATTTACAACATTTAATTAAAAAAACTATGTCCACACATAAAAAGTATTTTTAGTCATCAATTCTCAAGGCAAAAGATGTAAATAGTGAAATCTATAAGATGTATACTTTGATGTTAATTTGTTGTTGTGTATTTCAACGATAAGAGCATTGGATTCTGGATTCTTGGCTCAGACAAAGGCTTTAGTTCAGCCTTCTCTAACACCATGGTTTCTAATGTATGAAAGACATATTTCCTTAATGATCTTTGGATGTTGGTTACATAGATGAATTCCTTAAATTTTTTTTAATAGAGATAAAAACACAGCCCGAATCAGAAAAAGGAGTCAATTCATACCATCGGGTGGTGGTCACTTCTGGGGTGTGGACAGACAGAGCCTCCTTCTGCCCTCACCCCCACCAGCCTTCTCCCCCACAGGTGCACTCTGTTCAGACAGAGCCACTCTGTGAGCCAAGGACAATATGTGCGCCTACGTTGACCCCATTTCTGGTTGTCACTTGACAACTTGAGCCAACTATTACTAGATGACCCAACGGTTATGACGTTGCCACCCAAAGTACCTACCTTCCTGGAGGCATGCCCTCAGCCTCCCCACCAGTCCAGGCTCCCATGTCATTGTGATTCAGCCTCCCCACCCCGCCAGTTCAAGTGAATCATATGTCCAAGTAAGTGACTTAGTGCTGGTCAATAAGATCTTGCTGGGGTGGGGGCGCCTGGGTGGCTCAGTCGTTAAGCATCTGCCTTCGGCTCAGGTCATGATCCCAGGGTCCTGGGATCGAGCCCCACATCAGGCTCCCTGCTCGGCAGGAAGCCTGCTTCACCTTCTCCCGCTCCCCCTGCTTGTGTTCCCTCTCTCGCTGTGTCTCTCTCTGTCAAATAAATAAATAAAATCTTAAAAAAAAAAAAAAAAAGATCGTGCTGGGGTGGCCCTGTCCTGCTCTCTAATAAGAAGCATGGCTCTCAGATGATGCTGATGACCATTCATGAAACTTGATGTCCCGGATGCTGTTTATCCAGAATAGTCCGGGAATGGGGCATTCTAATACACTGGGGAATCTGCTGACCTATAGACTACCAGTTTTGAAAGAAAAATAAACTAATTAGGAAAGAACTTTTTCTACAACAGTGCATCACTGGCATATCATAATTTTACCCAGCATTGTAATTACGTATGCATGTACCCCACCTCTCCTGCAAAACCGCAGGCTTCTTAAGGGATAGTCTGTACCAGTTTCGTCTTTATTCCCCTTATAGTACCTAGTGGGTTGCTTTATATATTGTAGGTGCTAAAAAAAAAAAAAGTTTTTGTTAAATTAATGAAAATATAGAACACAAACTATGATTTGCCAACACTGACTTAATCCTTCTCTGATGACTCAGGCCCTCCAGGGTTCAGGCTTATTATTACGTGGGTTATCTCTGGGGATGTTTAATACAGACCAACTGCCTGACAGGGGAATTCTACAATGACTGGAAGACAGTACTGGGTATCTACCGATTCATTCCACTTCTAAGTCTATGTGCCTGTATTTAAAAGTCAAACACAGAAGCGATCCCATTTATTATTCCCTGAAAGGAATACCGCATCACATAGAAGATTTCAAATAAAGAGTGTTAGCTAGCTTCTGCTTTTAAACCTTCACCAGGTCAAGGAATTTATCTTTGAGATTTTTGAAAAGATAGGATGTCATTAGTACTATTAATGTATTATAACAGTTATTTTATTAAAGTCTAATCATTGGATTATAATTTAATGAATGCAAACATATTTATCACTATGCACCTAATATATGCCAAGCCCTGTGTTAGTCATTAGGGATACAATATGAATATAATTCATACCCTCAAGAAATTTAAATAATTTATCTTTTAAGAGCATTTTATTATACAGATCATTTTACAGAACTTTAGATGTCACTGTAGAAAATGAGCCTGGGTGTGATGTGACCCTCTAACAGGTCCTATAACTCACTCAAAATACAGAATAATACAAAAGAAAAAATGCAGATGTTAGCTTAATTATTGACATTAGTCTTTTTTTTTTTCCTGAAAAACTCAGCCTCCAGAATGTTCATTTAAGAATCTAGTTTTTTACACTTTTTTTTTTAATTTTTTATTGTTATGTTAATCACCATATATTACATCATTAGTTTTTGATGCAGTGTTCCATGATTCATTGTTTGTGCATAACACCCAGTGCACCATGCAAAACGTGCCCTCCTCAATACCCATCACCAGGCTAACCCATCCCCCCACCCCCCTACCCTCTAGAACCCTCAGTTTTTCAGAGTCCATCATCTCTCATGGTTCGTCTCCCCCTCTGACATACTCCCCTTTTCTTCCTCTCCTGTTATCTTCTTCTTTTCCTTTTTTCTTAAAATATGTTGCGTTATTTGTTTCAGAAGTACAGATCTGTGATTCAACAGTCTTACACAATTCACAGCGCTCACCGTAGCACATACCCTCCCCAATGTCTATCACCCAGCCATTCCATCCCTCCCACCCCCAATCACTCCAGTAACACTCAGTTTGTTTAGTTTTTTACACTTTTTGATTGCTGGGTAAGTTAGCTTCTGGACATGAGGTGATTTTCATTTCCATTGAGTACCATGTCTGTCCCCCAGGACTTGGGGGCAAGGCAGTTGCCCCAAGTGGGGAGAAAGGAGCCATCACAGCACCCCTCCCCTCTGGCCAATCTTTCTGTGGGTGCAGTCGCGAGAGAGGTGGCAGGAGGGAGCCCTGCCCTGGGATTCAGGAGAAACCAGTCCAGTTTGTCAGCTTCCTGTAAACATGCTGATTTTCATCATGACAGTAGGACTTTACAATTCAATCTTTATATCTAAAACTAAGGGTCTAGATGCAATCAGTTTCCCAACATATATTCTGCGAAACACAGGTCCCAGAAGACTCTCCATCAAAAAGGTGCCTCAGAGTACAAGTGTGAGGAAGCCTGCACTTTGCACCCGACTGTGAAGAGTCAGTCACAAAGCACATCAGCATACTGAGGATTCAGAGAAATCGTATCATCAAAACACTGTGAGAGCAGCATTTCTCAAAAGCGTTTGGCATGAAACCCATTCTTCTAGCTTCACCCACCCATTCACTTAATGTTCTGAGGCACAAACTTTGGAAACAATAAATGATCTCTATACTCACTGGTTTTATAGTATCTTAAAGCAGAAAATAGTCTTAGAAAATAGAGGTCCATAAGGTTAGGATCTCGTAGCTAGTCAGCGGCCAAACTAGGTCCCTTTCATTTGTCAATTTCTCACATTCCATATACCAATAACCCCAGTGAATGAAATTTTACTGTGAGCAGGGCTCCAAAGAGCATCAGTAATTGAAATTTACAGATTTTTCGCTAAGCTCCAGGGTTTCCACTTTGGGTTAAATTCTTGGTTGAAGTGACTCCTGATTAAGCAAAACTAATGGTGCATATCCATAGGCTAGGGAGATGTTACCAAGCAGAAAATTATCCACAATTCAAGAAACTAATGAGAAGGGGGGAAAGCGAAACAAACAGCACAGAGTCCAAAGCCCAAGTAATTATCTCCTGGGTAACTAAAGTAAATTCCTTTTTTTTTTTTTTAAACTGAGTTTAAGGAGATCCTTTTTTTTTTTTTTGTTTTGTTTTGTTTTAAGTATTGAGTCATATATTCCTTTGGTGTCAGGATTAAGAAAAGAGAACTGATATTTGCTATACCAACCTCAAAGACCAACGTCCTAGATAGTGTCTCCTTAATGCTAACTTAAAAAAAGTCTCACACATCACTTCATAATGAACTTTGCCTTGAGCTTAAAGGACAAAGATAGTTTTAAGCTTCACTTTCTTTTCATGCGGTTTGCTTGTAAAGAATTCTGTAAGTTAGTGGCTAAGTAAACAACTGTATGCTCCTAGCTGTGAATTGGCCGTTCCACAGTCCCAACTATAGTATAGCCTAACCCCAAAGTAATTAAAGAACCGAGCAATTTGCATTCTTTTTCTACAAAACTACTCTTGAGTAGCAGATGGCAAACACAAATGTTTTGCTCTAGAGACATATGGAAACCTCTCTGTTTCATAAAAGCCTCAATGAATATTAAACGCTGAATAATGCCATTCATTGCAAAAATAAGATGTTGTGATAATCTCCCAAACAGGCCTAATTAGGCCATATAGCTACTTGATTTTCATAGAGTAATACGTGGGAAATTACTATGTGATTAGGATTTCATTAGCAGTTTTTCTTAATCTGAATTTTCATCCTGGCACCGAAGAATCACCTATTCAGCCTATTTCTTCAGCATTCTGTTATGTTGCAACCATCACTTATAATTGTAAATCTTAAAAATAAGTAATCAAAGAATTCTGCTTGATTTCATATTAACTGCTTCGGTTCTGTTTGAACAGTGAGAATGAGGAATTTCAAGAGAGATCGGATGTTTTATCATAGGTTCTGGAGCATTCAACCTGTTCCCTGATTAACTCCATTGAATAAGCCTTGCTGCTGTTAAATTGGAAAAAAAAAAGTCTATGTTTAAGGTTATTCAGGAAATGATTATCCATATTAAGTAGGAATTGGAAGCAGGAATATTACTGGATATGGCTCAAAATACAAAGCAGAGTCTCATTTTTCTCTGAACCTTTTAGACTGGTACCCTCATAAATTGTTGTCACCAGCACAGAGAGGACTGAAACGTTGCACTCCTTGGAAAGAGAGAAGTACTGATAACTGAGTCATAGGGTGGACTGAATGCTATTTGGAACAAGGAACTAGGTATCTTTGGCTCCTTTCCCAGCTCCACACCCTGCCTGGCCTCCAAAAGACCTACTAGGCCTCGAGGCTGTTGGGATAAATCTCGATTCATCAGGGTGTTTGGTTCGCTTGGGAGAGTCACCTGTTATGGGGGTTTGGATTCAAAAACCAAAGAATTCTATAGTCAGGAAGGGAGTATCTAACCCAGCCCCCCTCATTTTACAGTTGAGGAAACTGAAGCATAGAAAGGTTGTTGTCCTTGTTTATGGTCACAGAGCAGAGCTAGTTAGTGGCAGAGGTGGGAACAGAACTCAGGTCACCTGGTGCTTAGTCCAGTCCTCTCTTCATTACAAAACCCCAGAACTTAGAAAGTTCAAGGCTGGGACATCTGGGTGGCTCAGTCCATTGAGTGTCCGACTCTGATTTCAGCTCAGGTTATGACCTCAGGGTTGTGAGATAAAGCCCCTATCAGGCTCCTTGCTCAGCAGGTAGTCTGCTTGAGATTCTCTCTCTCCCTCTGCCCCTCCTCCCAGTCTCTCTCTCTCTCTCTCAAATAAACACAATAATCTGTTAAAAAAAGAAAAAAGAAAGTTCAAGGCGGCCGAAATGGTTGACCTTTGCTACTTGCTTTGAGTTGAGGTAGAGTAGAGAGGAGTCAGGTGTATAAGTGCCTATGTAATTCTAGCTTTGGACCACCCAGCCCCTCTTTAAGCAAACAGTTATTTGCTTCTTGCTCTTCTTCCCAGTTCAACATCAACGTACCTGTTTAAGAGAACAAGTCAGAATTTTCCTGGATCAGCTCCATGACTTCTCCAGAAATTCCAACATAAACAACCACCTAGCTGTACTCAATACAAATATCGATATGTACTTGACACTGAAACAGGTGCTAGTATTCATTTGTTGCTTCTGTAGTCTTGTCTC